GTGGACAGGCCATTTCCCTGTGTTGGGAGCCTTGCAGGAAGCGAAGTAGAGAAGCGCAGAGGCTAATGCTCTGGACTTGACCTTGTTAGAGCACCGACCTTGGGGCCAAATGCTCGGAATTGCCAGTCCCCGCGCCTGCCAGCCGCACCCTTCATTCTTGTTCCCATTGCCCACATGCTGCCTTGCCGCGTCCGTCTGCGTAGATCAGAGAAACAAATGCAGACACACTCGTGTGTGTAAGAAAGACGTTTCTGTACAAGAGCCATTGAACATTGAGAAAACAGCCCAGCCCAGTCCAGATCAAGTCCATAAGTCCGACATTAGTCCGTGGGCCCGATATCAATCTATAAAGTCCTCTTCAGACTCACGCAACTCCTGCAATGATGCTGGATGCAGGGAGATCACAGGCCGGTGGTGGGGAGTCTTGTGGATCCAGTGGTGTGGAAGCATCTCAGCGCCCGCGTGGTCTCCACGTGGCTTCTCGGGCTTCCGAGGTCCGGTCGCATCAGGTTAAGTCCACGTGGCTTCTCCAGCGCAGGCCACTAGCCTAGCTCCACGTGTCTTGTCAGCTGCAATGTCTCCCAGGGAGTCAGCAGAGAGAGAGAGTGTCTCCCACCTCCAAGGAGGAAATTCCAGATTTCCCAGAATCCTCAGGAGAAGGCCACGCCCACACAGGTCACATTGGCTGAGATCTGATTGACCGACTAGACTCCGCCCCTTCACTCTTAATCCTCACAAGCCCCAAATGGACACCGGACGCTGTCACAACCACACTGGCTGACCCAGAGCGTGTGGCTGTTCCAGGGCTCCGTGGTCCCCGAGGACGTGGCCGTGGTCTTCAGCCGGGAGGAGTGGGCTCTGCTGGACCTTGCTCAGAGGAGACTCTACAGAGACGTGATGACGGAGACCTTCAGAAACCTGGCTTTTGTCGGTAAGAATGACATCTTTTTTAAACAGAGACTATTGTGATGTCTTTAGCGGTCAGGACCATGTCGCACGTGGACTCTGTTCCAGTTTTATATAAAGGGTCATTGTACATGAAGAAAGCCTCCCAGTCCAGTCCATAAGTCCAATATCAGCCCATAGGTCTGCTACCAGGCTATAAAGTCCTCTTCAGACTCACGCAACACATGCAATGACGCCGAATGCAGCGAGATCACAGGCCGGTGGGGGGGAAGTCTTGTGGGTCCAGTGGCGGTGGAGGCATCTCAGCGCTGGTGTGAATGTCCAC